AGAGGGGGGGGGGGGAATTACGCAAACGAAATCCCACCGCTTCTGCTGTGGCTAGCATCCAACAGCACGCCTGTTTCAACAATCACACACGAATTTTATTCCAGTGCATTGATATCCGTATATATTGTGATGTATTGGTATGAATACGAATAAATGAAAACTAGAATGTTCACCCCTACTCTGTTGTTGTGTTAGAGTTTTCAGGATCTTCATAAAGCTGGCCCATCTCCTTCAACTAGCCAGTCAAAGTTGACTGGGCACCACATATAGAAGAAAAGTCAACATTTTTGTCTTACCCTATAGCATCAAACGGACAGAGCGCGAAGCCTGTAAGCCCCAAATAAACTTGATTCTATGTCACGCCTGGGGATCAACTGAAATGTCACCAGCTCCTGTAAGCGAGTAAAAATATCTTTTTCTGCTGCTTTTTCATATTCTCACGCATTGTAACACTGCTATGTTATCCTTCGCAGATCTCCGTGCATGGTTACACGGCCGAATTGCGTGTCCAGGAACTCTTCCCGAGGTCTTCCAATTCCGAAAATGCCGGTCTGCTGACTTGCATTGCCCAAGCAGGTGAATATGAACTCACCAGACACTATCTTTTGTATTCCGGTTCCAGTAACAACGGTCTGTGCGCTTCCGCAGTCAAAGAGAACTCATTATTATGCAATCAGAGTGAGTAATCAATTTGTATTTCGAAATATATATATATATTGATTGAAATAAAAAAATAACAGCAAGAAAAGTACAAACATATAGAACGTGGATTAACTTAATACGCACAGAAATGGAGTGGATGCATGACCCCGCATTGTTTATCAAATTGAGTCACAGTGCTTGGTGTCGAATGCTGGGCTCACCAACCCGGAAGTTTAACTTGACCTATATATGTCCAACTCGTTTGTTCAGGTCGTTTCATACCCACATGTACGGTCTGATCTTATTTACACTTCACCTTTTTCCACCCACTATCTGCCTGAAAAACGTTGCACTCGGAAGATGCGTTTTCAGTGACAGGTGTGTCATTGGTATCTGTGATTTATCAGGCACTTGATTCTGTACTATAGACCGCGATTACCCCAGAAGTTTGCACGCAACCTCTCCGGGTCACAACTGATTAAGTTTGATCCATTTTGTCTTGGCCGGGTCGAATGAAAAACAAAACTAGAGTTCTGAGATACTACTCACTTGTGAGTAGTACGCAAAAATATGAGATCAGCTGTTTCTTTCAACGATGAAAAATGATTAGGAAATGTTGGAGCCAAACTGTTGCTGTTCTGTATCGTGAATACAAAAATGCGCATCTGATAGTAGACCGTTCCATCAACTATCCTATGTGTGCGTGCAGGAATTCTGCAAACTTGTTCCAAATGAGATATTTTGTTGTACGAATGACAATTTAACCATATCCCGACAGTGATTAACAATAGAGAGCCGTGCTTGACCGAGGACCGCCTTGTGAAATC